TAATTTTACAATACTAACTCTGATTTGGTTAAAAACAAACAAACAAAAACCTTGTTGCTATATCACCTCTGGGACTTTATTGATTATTCTGCAAAGTGGTACAGGGCTGTAGGAATTGAAGTCTAAATTTAGGGAGGATTCTTTTTTTTTTTTAAATATAAATTTATTTATTTTTAGTTTTCAATATTTACTTCCACAAGATTTTGAGTTCCGAATTGTCACACCATCTCACCCCTCCTCCCACCCCAAGATGGCATGCATTCTGAATATCCCTTCCCCTAGTCTCTTCTCTCTTCTGTCTCTCCCCCCTTCTCTTATCTCCTTCCCCTTCTGTTTTCCTGTAGGGCAGGATAGACTTCTGTATCCCATTTCCTGTATTTCTTATTGCCCAGTAGCATGTGAAAACATTTTTTTTAAACATATGTTTTTAAAACTTTAGGTTTCAAATTTTCTCCCTTCCTCCCCTCCCCACCCACTCTCATTGAAAAGGCAAGCAACTCAATGTAGGTTATACATGTGCAATTATGCAAAACACTTCCATAGTAGACATGTTGTGAAAAACTAACTGTATTTCCCTTAATCCTATCCTGCCCTCCCATTTATTCTGTTCTTCCTTTTGACCCTGTCCCTCCTCAGAAGTATTTGCTTCTGATTATCCCCTTTCCCAATCTGCCTCCTCTCTATCATCCCCTGCTCTCTTGTCCCCTTTCCCCCTATTTTCCTGTAGGGTAAGACAGATTTCCATACCCAATTGAATGTGTATGTTATTCCCTCCTTAAGCCAAATCTATGAGAATAAGATTCCTCATTCCTCTCTCTTCCCCATTTCCCCTCCACTGTAAGAGCCCTTTCTTTTCTGTTTTTTTTGTGTGAGATAATTTACCCCGTTCTACCTCTCCCTTTCTTCTTCTAGTATAATCCTCTCTCATCCCTTAATTTTATTCTCCAGATATGAATGACCCCTTAATCTTCAACTCACCCTGTGCCCTCTGTCTATCTACTTGTCTGTCTGTCTGTCTATCTATCTATCTATCTATTATCTATTCATACATATAATTTTTTTCCTCCAACTACCCTAATACTGACAAAGGTCTTATGAGTTATAAATACCATCTTTCCATGCAGGAATGTAAACAGTTCAACCTTAATAAGTCTCTTGTGATTTCTCTTTCCTGTTTACCTCTTCATGTTCCACTTGAGTCTTGTATTTGAAAGTTAAATTTTCTATTCAGCTCTGGTCTTTTCATCAAGAATGCTTGAAAGTCCTCTATTTCACTGAATGACTCAGTTTTGCTGGGTAGGTGATTCTTGGTTGTAATCCTATCTCCTTTGCCCTCTGGAATATTATATTCCATGCCCTGCGGTCCTTTAATGTAGAAGCTGCTAAATCTTGTGTTATCCTGATTGTGTTTCCACAGTGCTTGAATTGTTTCCTTCTGGCAGCTTGTAATATTTTCTCCTTGACCTGAGAACTCTGGAATTTGGCTACAATATTTCTAGGAGTTTTCCTCTGAGGGTCTCTTTTGGGATGGGATCAGTAGATTCTTTCAATTTCTATTTCACCCTCTGGCTCTAAAATATCAGGGCAGTTTTCCTTGATAATTTCTTGAAAGATGATGCCTAGGCTCTTTTTTTGATCATGGCTTTCAGATAGGCCAATAATTTTTAAATTCTCTCTCCTGAATCTATTTTCCAGGTCAGTTGTTTTTCCAATGAGACATTTCACATTGTTTTCTATTTTTTCATTCTTTTGGATTTGTTTTACAGTGTCTTGATTTCTCATAAAGTCACTAGCTTCCAATTGCTCTATTCTAATTTTTAAGGAAGTATTTCCTTCAGTAAGCTTTTGGACTTCCTTTTCCATTTGGCCAATTTTTCTTTTTAGGGCATTCTTCTCCTCCTTGGCTTTTTGGACTTCTTTTGCCATTTGGGTTAGGCTATTTTTAAGGTGTTACTTTTTTCAGTATTTTTTTGGGTCTCCTTTAGCAAGCTGTTGACTTGTTTTTCATGATTTTCTTGCATCACTCTCATTTCTCTTCCCAGTTTTTCCTCTACTTCTCTTACTTGCTTCTCACAATCCCTTTTGAGCTCTTCCAAGGCCTGGGACTGATTCATATTTTTCTTGGAGGCTTTGACTTTGTTGTCTTCTTCTGGTTGTATATTTTGATCTTCTTTGTCACCAAAGTAAGATAATATAGTCTTACTCTTTTTGCGCTGCTTGCTCATGATCCCGGCCAATTACTTGAGTTTTAAACTCTTTATTAAGGTAAGAGTCTGCTTCCAATGTGGAAGCTTTGGAGATTTGTACAGCTGTTTTCAGAGACACTTGTAGGGACCTGTAAATTTTCAGTTCTTCCAAGGTGGTATGATAAGGGGCGAGGTGTTTACTCCTTTCCTGGCCTGTGTCCACGAGTATTCCTTTCCGTCCTGTAACTGTGAGGAAGGGTTCCTCTCCACAGCCACTCCAAGCTCTACCATGCCAGCGTTCCTCCTCACCCCAGCACCGCCACCCAGAACTGTGACCCAGATCCAAGCATGGGCAAAGCAAGAGATTCCTCCCTCAGCACTGGCAAAGAGATCCCTGCAATCCCTCTCTGATCAGCCACTGGATTCCCCCTCAGTCTGTGGGCCAGAAGCTCAGGAGGCAGCCACTGCCCCTATGGCCTGCGCTCCGCACTCTCAGGGAACTGGAGCTGAGACCCCGCACTCGTTTCTCAGCACCCGCAGAAACAGACTTTTTCCCATTGACCTTCTAAGCTGTCTTTGGCATTCATGGGTTGAGAAGTCTGGAATCCACTACAGCTGCCTAGGATTCAGTCCTCTGAGGCCTGCTTCAGGGTCGCTGCGGCCTGTGCACTGCGGTCCTCTCCCACCCAGCGAGATATACCTTTCTGATCAATCATCCAGATTGTCTTGGGCTGGAAATTTGTTTCACTCTGTCTTTTTGTGGGTTGTGCTGCTTTAGAATTTGTTTAGAGCCATTTTTTATAGGTATTTGGAGGGGTTTGGGGGAGAGCTCAAGTAAGTCACTGCTTTCACTCTGCCATCTTGGCTCCCCCCCAACCAAGATTCTTACCAAGTAGGAGCCAGGGCTTATTTGTGCAATAAATTAGAATCCTTCACAAAAGAAATAAAGGAGTGTTAAAAGCTATATCAAATTTATGACTTTGAGACCTCCTTGTATGATGTGCATATAATGCATGTTTATTTTGGGGTCAGGGAACAGAGCTTAGGGTCACCAGCACTCTCTTGGTTTTGTTTTTTGATTTTTTGGGGGTTTTTTTGGAGTTTTTGGCTTATATTGGCAGATTATTAATCAAATGAGATTTAAATTCCCTTATTGCAAATAATTATTGCTAACTGCAGAGCATACAAACCTTTAATTCTTCTTGCATAGCAGTAAATGGAAAAACAAGTGATTTATTTTGTGTGGGAGGTTTTTCCCCTCAAAAGTAGCATGGTATTTTTGAATAATCTAACATCTTAGACTTACTTCTTCATGCAACCCACTGACAAATTTCAATGTTTCACTTAATTCTAACATCACATCTCCTACATCTTATATAAGGAAATACTTATATTTTAAGTTCTAGTCTCCTTAGAGTAATTTCCACTCGTTATAAATTAATGTTAATGAAATCTGAACGGGACATCTAACATTTTCAAGGATATGGGACTTTTTTTCCATATCCTTCTTAAATTAGAATTAATCCAGAGAGGATCTTGTCCTGGCGATGGAGCTGCCTTAGTTCCTCTGATCTCTCCTACCTCACTGTCTTCTCCTTATCACAGCAGTTAAGGAAGAAGAGTGAGGCCAGTGTACTGGAGCTGACATATTCATATTTTGTACCCTCATTGCTGTCTGCCCTTTCAGATTGTAGCTGCCCTTTACTTTTTTTTCTTCTGATGGGGGAGAAATGAAATTTAAAGTGTGATTGAATAAATGTATAGTTTAAGAAGATATTAAAATTACTTAGAAAAATATAAAATATTAGGCACATGGTAAATCCCATTAGTTTGGTTCTATTAGTTGGAAATTTTTTATTGTATAACAAGGATATGGGCAAAAATTTAGCATTACTAAACAAATCTTTTGTTAGTGTCATAATCATAGGATTCAGGACTTGAACATATCTGAGAAATCATTTAATCCAACCTCTTTACTTTACAACATGGAGAAACTGAGTTCATCTAGGCTGAATTCTTAGATTCTCAGAATAAAATTTAGACTTGACAGCCAGTGAGATCCCTTTCCCACCAATTACCCTGGGTTTGATTTCCTTTTTTTGTTTGTTTATTTTGTTGTGGTTTTTCCAGATTAGTATTTACTATCAACAGTTATGGAGGGGGGCAACTTTGACCGTGTCTCAGGGTGCCAAATTTAGAGGGTACTTAGAGCCCTTGTAATCTTTCAGCAGTATAGAAACTATTGAGCTTGGCAATTAATTAAAATAGGAAGCTGCCAGATGGCAGGCTGTGGTTAGATGCTCCGCTGTCCTCCCTATACCTCAGCTTTGCATTCCACCCCAGTGGCTGTCTGCAGCAGCCTTCCAATGTGTTTGAGAATCTGTCTTCTCTATGCTACTTGAGCTAGTGTCTCTTCCTTATTCCTCTTAAATAAATGTCTTTTCTGTTGCTTGTTTTGTGTGTGAAAATTCCAGATAAGGGCTCTGAGTATTAAAGACAATATAGATTAATAGTGTTAAGATTACAGGGAAAATGCTTAACCTACACAAGAGAATAAACTTTCCCTTTTAGAAGCCCACATTTATAGATACAGATGGTTGATAGGAGAACAATAAAACATCTCTGTAACTGTTTTATTATTAGGTCACACTTTGTTATCTGTGATTTAGACTTTACATTTACTCAGTTTAGTCTCCCTTTTAATCAGGCTGAACTAGAAAGGATTTTCCATATTATTATTTTATTACGTATGCTTAAATATTGGTAAATACCATTCATCTATTTTATTACCTTCTTTTTCCCTCTCTTTTACAGCTTGGGTGAGTTCTCTGTCCATGGGGATGATCTTTTTCTGCTGTCCTATAGTGAGTGTATTCACAGATATATTTGGATGTCGCAAAACAGCTGTTGCTGGGGCTGCTGTAGGGCTCATTGGACTTATGTCTAGTTCTTTTGTAAGGTAAGGATTCTGTTTCCTCATATTTGATTGTCAAGAACTGTTTGATATCCTAAAGTAACTAGTTTCTTGGCACCCTCAGATCAGAGTTCCTTTGGGGATTTGCATTTTTTTCCTCTTGTAATGAGTATATCCATAAATGTTCACAGAAGGCAGTAGAAGCATATTGTTACCTTGCTTTTCTGATTCAAATCAGAGTTAGAACTGGGTGAAGCAAATAATGAAAGGTGGGTGGATACCAAGCTTTTTTTTCTAAAACTAGCAATGTAACTAACGCAATGGTTCTTTGAATTCTTATTATCATAAACTGGAGAGTATACTTAGGAAATTGCTGCTATAATTGGGCTATTAGTCATTTTAGGGAATGACAAAGCAAGTATCATTCTTAAGAGTCTGATCATCAGGCTCATAAATTATTTAATATTTTCATCAATTCTGTAGAAAGTATGTTGAAGTTCATTAGTTACTCCAACCCCAGGTGGGAAGGCATTGCACCTTGGATGAAGGGGTTGGAATTTGGAATGGTCAATGAGTACATTGAAGAAATAAGCAGAAACAACCTGGAATTAAGCTCAGTATGAATAAACACAAACTATTCCTGCTAAGAAGGAAAAAAAAATTAGTACAGAAGAAAATGTCCAGGGAGAATCAGTCAGCAGTGTCTTTTTTTTTTTTTTTGGAGCACTATGTTGAAACAGATCCAAGAACCATAAGGCAGTCTTCCCATTTCTTTGTAGTGATGCTTTTCCCCCCATAAAGGTTATTTTTTTTTTAAATTGGAGGTTTCATCTAATAATGATGTGTCAGAGAGGCACAACAATGGTTCTGAGTTCTCAAAGGCAATATCAGCAGGGCATAAGCTCTGGCAGGTCTTGTCCATTTGGAAAGGCTTTGAGTGATGGACTGTTTGCATCAGTCATCCAGGATCCAGTAGAGAAAAGTTTGTTATTAGTTTATTACCAGATGAGCGACATGATGATGAATTTTTTCATCCACAGCTATACATGAAGATAGTCTACTAAAGTATGTAATAAGAGTGTAGTTTATATTAATAGATGGAGAATCCATGCCAATGAAATCACGGATCCTTGAAAGATTAAAATAATGGAGGAAAAACTATAAATTTCCATGTATGAAACAATGCTGGGTAACTGGTACATTTTAATTGAGCCAGCAAAATTAATAATAACTATTAAATTTGATTTAAGGGAAATTACTAGTAACTGAATTCACCATCAGAGGAGACAAAGCCAGTTTATTTAGATTGGATCCCTCTTACTAGAATATTGAGTTCAGTTCTGAGCTACACAACTGAAGAATGTAGACAACATGGGGCCGCATGACAGCCGCTGGAGAGATAAGGAAGAGGTGCAGAGTGGCCTGGCCCGGACTGCCCATCTTCCACAAGACTGTAGCAAGCACCCATGTCTGGCAAGGTCTTCATCCAGTGAGACTACAGCAGTGGCACCCTTTGTCATTCCAGACCAAGTACCCCACTGAGCTGGAGAACTGGATTGATTGACTGGCAGCAGTTTGAAGAAACAGTTTGTGCTCTAAATAACCTTTTTGCAGAAGCAGAAAAGCTTGGGAGCCAATCTTGCCTTGAAGGCTGTTTAGCTTGTTAGATGTCATATACTATCTTTTTGTGCATGGAAACATATTATGAGAAGGTTCTGAAGAAAATCACCAAATATATTCAGGAACAGAATGGAAAGATTTACTCTCAGCAGGGCCTCCTTCTGACAGACGCAGTTGAGAGAGGACTTCATGTTATTGAGATGACCACTTATGAAGACAGAGGCATGCGCAGTGGAAGATAAACCATGGAGTCTAAGGGTCCATCTCAGAATGGGACTCTCCTCTGTCCACTGGCCAACTGCAGAGTGTCCCCTGTCTGCTCTTCCAGCTTCATTCCTTTGTATCGGCATTCTATTCCAAGGACTAACTTTCTAAAATTCTGCTCTTGGGTGACATCTACTTATTCAGCATTCACTTTGTGTCTTTAAACTGTGTAGAACTTTGTAATCTTTGTAGTTATTTCTGAGAAAATATAATGAAGCATTTCATTTTTAAAATTCAAAACAATTTAATAAAATGAGCTGTGGTAAATCAGCCATATCCAAAATCCGTTTCTTGTCTGCCACTAGGACTATTAGTTCTGATCAATATTTATGCTGTCATCTTTTGATTTCAGCAAGTCATATCCAGGTTTGGTTTAATTTCCCTTGAATTGAAGGTGGCCTTTTCTTCCAGGCATGCTTTTTGATGAGGGGTAAGCTAGGACTGTGGTGGACTGACATATCTCCCAGATCTCAAGGAATTCATAGGATTGCCAGATCTGTTTCTACTATTAGTTTCTCATACTGAAGCAAATTGGAATGATAATGTATGATGATACTTGTTTTTAATGTAGCAGTTAATCCTAAGTCAACTAGTACTTCATATGATTTCCAGTTACCTTGATTCTCCTTGGAGGATCTTATATTATTACTTCATTGCCATGAACATTGGGACTATGTAGTATGTGTTGCTTGTTTTATTAAAAGTATATAAGTATAATAAAGTGGATGCTAAGCCATCAGACCTATAGGCATCCTTGCTCTGCCCCTTAATGTGTAATTAACAAGTGTAATGAACATTTTCTTTATGGCTTTATTATAAATATAATTTACGGGGAAAATAATTTGATAGGAATGATACTGTATGTGCTCATGTTTAACTATTTCCACTGGTAAACCTTATGAATCATAAACCTTTCTTGAATTCAGTATTTAGGATGTGCATAGATCTTGTAATTAGTCCAGGTAAAATAATATGAATGTTTCCTGAGTAAAATTTCCAAAAATCTAAGTTAATATTTATTTTTCTTCTACCTACATTCTTCATGACAGTGTTTTCCAAGACCTTGAAATATTAAGTTAATCATTATGGTTTGAGAGCATTGTTCTTTGGAAAGAACTAAGAGATTTACTAGAAAAGAATGAAAGAATTAAAGCTCTACTTCCAGTGATATTGTAGGTGCTAATACTGGATCTAATCTAACAGATTTAATTTCTCTTATGGATTTATTAATCATTCATTTAAATCCCAGAGGCTGGTTTAATATTTTAATTGTATAAAACCCTTTTTGCTTTTCTATAACCTGTAACAGTATGTCTGTCTGCCTTTTAAACCCATTGTAAATATCAGTGCATTAGTAAACATTTTCTTAAATAATAATAAAAAAAGAAAACTTGGAAAGATTTCAGATGAGAGCCACAAAAATTGTTAAGGTTGGAAAAGACCTATGAGGAAGGTCCGCTGCTGAGACAAGGCATATGTATGCCATTGGCCAGGTTTTAAAATTAAAACCTCTGTGTATTATTTTTCCCTAGAGGCTTTGAGCTATCCAGGTGATTTGACTTAGTAGAAAATCCCTGTGTATCATGGAGAGGAGAATTATTTTTGGCATTTAAAATATGTACATTTACAAAAAGTAATATTAAAAAGTGTTGCACCCTCCTGTGTGTTGTACCCTTGGTGACTGCCTGTCTGCTTGCCTTGCCTTTCCCTACCTAGTTCTGATTCTGGGAAGGGCTGAATGAATTTAAATCACTGGGAGAAAACTGAGGGGATATGTAAAGGTTAATAATGTGAATAGTAGATTATTTTATAATGTATGTAGGCAAATACCTGTAATGTTTTTATGGTGTTAAATCAAAAGATATGTCTGAGAAACAGAATAATACCAAGTATCTTGGATTTAGACAGCATCTTTCTTTCAGATTCCTCAGTTCTAACAAGATTCCTAAAATTCAATTCAGCATTCATTCATTAAGCACTTGTGATGTGTCAGGCACTGTGCTGGGTGCCCCAAAATTAAAAAAAATGAAGTAATTTCTACTCTCAAGGAACGTTCTAAACAGATGTTTCTTTGTACCAAAGAAGGTCATGTTTCTTCTATTTAAAGTGTATTGTTCACATTCAAGATGAGGAGGATATCACTAGATAACAATTTATCATCCTATAGCATTTATTAAGTGTTTACTGCACTATATGTACCAGGTACTATTGTGGGTCCTGGAGATGTAAAAACAAAACAAAATGAAAAAATGAAATGATCCCTGCTCTCAAGGAGCTTACATTCTATTGGAGGAGACAATATGTAAGTATGTAATTATATATGTAATAAATTCAAAATAAACACAAAGTAGTTAATGAAGGAGGGCAGTACCAGTTGAGGAAGATCAAGAAAGGTTTAATATAGAAAGTGATTCTTGAATGAGATTCTGTAAGGTGAATTAAGAAGAGAGTACATGCCTGGCATTTCTACAGAAATAGGAAAATTTGGAAGGATGGAGTTTTAGGGTGAAATATAATGAGTTCTGTTTTGGATATGCTGAGTTTAAGATGTCTCTGAGACATCCAGTTTGAGATGACTAATGGGCAGTTGATGATGTGGAACTGAAGCTCAGGATGCAGGCTGGGGCTGGATATATAGATCTGTGAGTCATCTGCATAAAGATTATAATCAAACCCAAAGGAGCTAATTAGGTCAAGAAGAGATAACTAGGACAAAGTGTTTGGGAATAACCACAATTATGAAGAGTATTACCAGGTTGATGAGCTATCAAAGGAGATTGGGTGGTCAGATGAGGAAGAAAACCAGAAGACAGTAATGTCACAAAATCCCAAAGAAAGTATCCAGGAGGAAAGGATGGTCAACAGTGTCAAGTAAAGCAGAATGGTAAAGAAGGATTTAGAGTGAGAAAAAGATTAGCCTACCAGATTTGTCAATTAAGATATTCTTGTTTACTTTTGAGAGAGTAGTTTCAGCTGAGTAATGTCAGAAGTTAGATTGCGAAGTGTTGGAGTGATAAAAGTGGCAGTAAAGACGGTAGACACCTTTTTCTAGAAGTTTGACAAAGGGAGGAAAGATGATAGGATGATAGCATGAGGTGTTGGTAAGGTCTAGTGAAAGTATTTTAAGAATAGAGAGGACTTGGGCATGTTTGAAGGCAGTAGAAAAGGAACTAGTAGAAAGGAAGAGATTAATGATTTTAGAAAGGGGATGATAATTGAGGGGGCAGTCTGTTAAATGAAGACAAGCTGGGATTGGATTAAGGGCATATATAGAAGGGGTGACTTTGGCAAGGAGAAGGGCTACGATGTTATTAGAGACTAGAGGAAAGGAAGAGAGAATGGAGGATGAATTCAGGGAGCTTTGGAATGAAGAGAAAGGGAAAAGAGAAAGCCCATGGCAAATGGCCTCAGTTGCTAATAGGAGAGGGGAAATGGGAGGTATGGGAGGCTTGATGAGGGAAAGGGAAGTTTTACTTTTTGTAGGGCACATGTGACCCTGGGCAAGTCATTTAATCTATTTCTGCCTCAGTTTTCTCAGCTGTAAAAATGGGGATAATGATAATACTTCTCTTACAGGGTTATTGTGAGGATCATAAGATATAGTAATTGTAAAGAGCATAGCAAAGTGCCTGGTATATAGTAAGTACTATGTAAATATTAGCTATTTTTGTTATTGTTATTGCCTTTGTTAATACTACTTCTACTAGTACTACTGCCTTTGTTGCAGTGAGGATCTAGTTGAAGTTAGATATTCCAAATTTTCCTATTTTTCTAGAAAACGCTATTATGCCAGGCATATACTCTCTCTTTACATCCACCTCATAGAATACCTTTCTTCATTCAAGAATCACTCTCTATACTAAGCCTTTCTTGATCTTCTTCAACGGCTAATGCCCTCCCTCATGTGCAGTATATATCTTTCTCTAACCCTGTATACAGCAGCAAGGGAGTAGGAGTGAAAAAAGTGAATGGTGAGAGTAATCCAGGGTTAGGGTTTTGTACAAGGATGAGTAACAGTAGGGTGTAGAGACTAGAGATTCAAGAGTATAGTGTGGAATTGTATTGTTAACTATAGGGCTGAGGTTGGGAAGAGAGGAAAATGAAGCTGGAGCAGGGCTCATAGGCTGAATTCTGTAGGGTAAAGGAATTGGAGGTCTCAGAGAGGACTAAGAATGGAGGAATAAGATATGGGAAGAGATGGAATTATAGAATATAGTCCTGAACAGTTCCCTGAGATAAATAATTGTTCAAGTATGTCACTTTTCCAATGGTTTTTTTAAAACCTATCATTCATCAATAAGTAGAAACATTTTGATATACAAAGGACAAAAAAAAAGGATAGTATATGAAATTGAGAACTTGTTACATTATTTTTAAAGTGTTAAATTTAACAAGGAAGTAACAAAATTGCCCTGTTGGCATTACCTTCTGAATTTGTTACTTCTAAGTATTTGTACAGCACTGCATTTTTATTACAGCTATATGCTGTTAGATGTGTTCATTAATCTTTTTCCTAGTAGCTTTCAGATTTCCATTTGCATTACATTTTGATGACCTTAACTCAGATTAATTGCAATTCACCAGGCATATGAATGCATATAACATGTGTAGCTGTATTGAGGGTTTTAGAGGAGTAAGAATGAAAAACAGTTCAGCATCATTATCGTGCAGTCAAGTAACTTATGGTGTGGTTGGAAAATTGTTCCAAATCAACATAAATTAGTACTGCATGAAATTTCACATAAATTATATTGGTAAATGCTAAATAATAAATAGCTAAGATTTATATAGAGCCTTCTATGTACCAGACACTATGCTAAGTGTTTTACAATTATTATCTCATTTGATATTCACAACAATCTTGTGAGGTGGGTCCTCTTATTATTCCCATTTTTACAGCTGAGTAAACTGAGGCTGATATAGGTTAAGTGACTTGCCTAAGGTCACAAAGCTTGTAAGCGTCTGAGGCTAGATTTGAGTTCAGATCTTCCTGACTTCAGGCTTAGTGCTATATATATGTTGAGCCACCTAGCTGCCTTACTATGTATACTGAGTGTTCTTCCTCTTGCTGGGAATATTAGTTTATCCTTCTGGACTAACCCATTCCACAAAAATTTCTTTCTCCTCTATACTTCTGTCATTGTTAATAAATACCACATAATTATGTTTAGTTTTATAGTCCATTTTTATAGTTCATTTAGCTATTGAATTTCAGTGGCAGCCTTCCAGAATTCAGCTACACATCCTGATGTGTCTCTCCTCTCCCTGGTCCCAGTCCCAACAAGAAAAATGGTTGTCACAAAGCCCATGCATTTTATTGAAAGTCTGTTGATGTAGTACTGTGTGTAAAATGAGTCCTGATTCAGTAAGCTTCACAATACAAGAGGCAGTGGGGAAAGGCTCTGCTAGAGGTGTATAGCTGAAGGCTTAGCTCCATTGCAGTAATGGTACAGTAGAGACCAGCAAACAGCTGATGTTCATGATGAAAATAACCCTTGGTGACCCAGAAAATATATATTATGTTCAGTGTGTTTCTGCTTAAGAAAGCTAGGAAAACATTTTAAAATGCCTTTTAAATTTCTAGCTAAAATGGCTAAAATGACTTGAAAAAATCAACACCTAAGAATCTCTTCTTGGTTATTTAGAGAACTTTACCTACATGGATAGTTTATTCACTGATGCTGAATTAATGAGGTATTCTCATAATATTACTTCTAGTTGTCTTAGTTTTATTTCACCAATGAGATTTTTAACTTCTTGAAGCCATGTGCAATGTCTTTTTTTTTTTTAATTTCTTTTATTCCCTGGAGGAATGGTTTGCTCACTAAATATCTATTGAATGAACAAGTAACATAGAGCAAAGGAATGGCCATTGTGGGATAAGCTGTGTTAACAAAAGCTTATGGGGAGCAAGTGTTTTGAAGCAGGTCTTCAAAGTATATGGAAATGGACATGGAAGGAAGGTTTAGCCACATGACTCAATTTTATTTGATCCTTCTGGAGTTCCTTGTGATCATCCTGGTACTTTGCCATTACTGTCATTAGTCTTTCCATTTTGCCAGGAACTTCACCTAACAATGCCTCACATATAATAGGTATTCAGTAAATGCTTGTTGAGTAGTATTGAATAATTAACCTCAGCCTCTAAGTTTCTAATATGTACTCTGCTTTTGTTACTTTTAAACTGAACTTTTATTAAGTCTAAATAAATGATATTCACTTCCTTTTATTCTTGACGTTCTCTTTTTCAAAGAATTCAAGAAATCTTACAGCATTTTACTTTTTATAAAATATGTGCTTACTTGGGCCAGTCTGTCAATGTTATTCAGAATGCTTTATGATTCTTTAAAAGATTTTCATGGGCTCTGGGCTAATAAACTAGAACTGTTAATGGGCATTATGTTTTATCTTGTGCAGTTGTATTATTTGCACAACCAACAGTAACATAAAGTAGGGCAAAGTTTGATCCATAGAGCTTAGGTCAGAAAAAATAAAGCCTCTTTGCTAATGTTCTGGATGCATAGGGGGAAGTATAGTGAAGCTTCTCTCCATCTGACAGACTGTTTTAATCCAGTGGATGCTTGTTATATATAGCAGTAACATCATTGTTGAAATCTTTCCCCTGAAAATGTGTTCTGATAAGAGAAATCTAATTGGTTTTCATTGAACTTATTTGGAAAAAGAAATCATTATTCTTGGCTCTGTTAAGTCTGATTTCACTTTTTCATTTTATTATATTTACAAATTGCCAAGAACCCCAGTGATTCCAAGTGAAATACTGTTGTCTTCCTGAGTTCATGGAATCACTGTTAGTCTTAAATTTTCACACCCAATGGTAAGAGGCATTTATATCCATTCAGATTGAATCAAACTGTTTTTAGTGTAAAATTCTGTGCCTAAGAATAGTGGACTTGCCTTCATTTGCTCTCTTTCTTTCTCTTTTCCTATCCCCCTTTTCTTTTTTCTTTCCTTTTTTTTTCTTCCTCCCCCCAATAGTACTTGTAGATAATATACACTGATTTTAGCATCAGTAATTTTGAGGAAACAATATAATGGAAATCTGCATTTATTTTTAAAATGGGCATATCTCAGCCATTGCAATAATCAATAGTGAAAATTATTTTCCTTTTCTTTCATTTCCATACAGCTCCATCGAGCCTCTGTATCTCACATATGGAATTATATTTGCCTGTGGCTGCTCTTTTGCATACCAGCCATCGTTGGTCATTTTGGGACATTATTTCAAGAAACGCCTGGGACTGGTGAATGGCATCGTTACTGCTGGCAGCAGCGTTTTCACAATATTACTCCCTTTGCTTTTAAGGGTACTGATTGATAAATTGGGACTGTTTGATACACTCAGAGTCCTGTGTATCTTCATGTTTGTCTTGTTTTTGGCTGGCTTTACCTACAAACCCTTACATCCTAATGCCAAATATAAAGACAGTGGGAAGAAAGGAGAGAAAAAATTCTTTCTCTTTTCTAGGAGAAAGTTTAGTCCTCCCAGAAAAGTTTTTAATTTCTCCATCTTCAAGGTCACAGGTTATTCAGTCTGGGCTTTTGGAATCCCACTTGCACTTTTTGGATATTTTGTGCCTTACGTTCACTTGGTAAGTGTGGTTTTTTGGCTTACTTTGCAATGTTCTGTTAATACTTTTAGGTGAAAGTTTTGGTGGATGAAACAAATAATATATCAAGTTGAAGCTGTTTTGGAACATTCTCCTGGTTGTAATCCAGGGCCTCTTGTAATTAGAAATATCTGAGCTCAAGGCCAAACCATCCATCAGAATCTCTTAAAAAACCAATCACAGTGGGCTTTGGCTCCTTAATAAAAACATAACATACCCCCCAAGGAGGGAAAAAAACCCCAAAAATCCAATCAATTAAAAAGCTGTTTTAAAAATGGAAATGATTGTGGGTGAAAAAAAGAGTGAAGTCATTTCTTTTGGGGAGGGCAGTAATCTTCATAGGGGACAAATAAGGTATAGTGCAGGGGTAGGGAACCTGCGGCCTCGAGGCCTTAATGAAAGGATTTGTTCCGTGAAGTTTGGAATCAGTCAAAGGGCCTCTCTTGAGGACCTCGTGGGCCACATGTGACCTCTCTGTCAGGAGGTAGGTAGCATATATCATGAATCGTCAGACAACTACTTTGGAAGAATTAAGAAATGTGCCAGATGAAAAGAGAATTAGGATTTCATAGAAAGCTAGGATTTCAAACATTCAAACCGCCTTAAGTGTATGTTCCTATTTCTTTTTTTTTGTTTTGTTTTGTTTTTGGTTTTTTTGGCTAGGCAGTGGGGTTAAGTGACTTGCCCAGGGTCACACAGCTAGTAAGGGTTATGTGTCTGAGGTCAGATTTGGACTCATGTCTTCCTGATTCCAGGGCCAGTGCTCTATCCACTGCGCCACCTAGCTGCCCCATATGTGTTCCTATTTCAAAGTGTATATTTCAACCTCTTTATATTGAAATCAGAATAAGTGGTGTTTGAAATATTTGCTCCATGGCAAGCCTTATTCACAAGGCTTGTTATGTCCCTTTTTTGTTTTCCTGCAGCTGCCACTGAATTTTATTTACAGTTCAACAGAGTTGAGAGTTGAACTATGATAAACACAAATGATGGTTTAGATGTAGTCCTGATAGTGTCATAACTGTTTGGTTGTTTTTTTGTGTGTGTGTGTGTATGTATGGGTGAACTTAGACCTCATTGAGCCAGTATCCAGTTTGAGTTTTTGTGCAAGATTGGTATCAGTAGTTAAAAGAATTCTTGTGCTCAGGTCAAAATTACTTTTAATTCAGTGCTAATATTCTTTGAAGTGTTTCTCTCTTCTAATTCTAGTCTTCAAAGCATGTATTATAAAGTTAGACTTACTGTGAATACAACCACATGTTAATTTTTATTGTGACTATAGCATTGAATTCAAACCTTGACTTCTTGGGTAAGTCATTTAAAATCTTCTGCTTTCAATATTCTTATGTGTAGAATGAGAGAGTTCAGATTTTTCAGTTGTTTTTTCAGCTAAATTAGATCATCTCTAAATTCTCTTTCAACTTTAAAATTCTATGATCCTAGGAACTAGGGAAACATATCATTAATCATTTTGAGCTAATGTCCTTAGCTATGAAAGGAGGTAGAAACCAGGAATAAAAGATCATATTCATAGATTTAGAACCAGAAGGGATGTCAGAGGTCATCTAGTAAACCCCCCTCCTTTTGCACATCAGGGAATTGAAACTCAGAGGGGGGAGTGACTTGCCCAACATTACAAAGATAATAAGTGGCAGAGCCATATTTGAATCTAGTTTCTGTCACTTTAGAACCAATCTCCTTTCTACTGAGGTGTAGAGAAGAAGGGTACATGCATTTTGGATTTTTTGCTGACCTGTGTTCCTGCTGCCAGACAAGTAAACCTGGGGAGAATGACTGGATATCTGGGTAGGGGAGAAGACTACAATGTCATTGGCTTTGTTCAACAAGATGATGGTTTTGTTAATGACTCAACCTTGGCCAGGGATTTTGTAACTAGATCAAATGAAAGAATATATGACCCTCTGGCCCAGATGTAATGAATTGCCATATCCTGAGCCTCAACTATTCTCTTAAATATAGTGTTGCTTCTAAGTGATCTAATACAATCTCTTTGAAGAACTGGTAGGAAAAAAGATGCCTCAGCATCTTTCCTCATTTATGTCATAGCTACCTCTGCTTTAATTCCAGGGCAAAACCTGAGAACTTTCATCCTCTGCTTTTAGCTAGAGGATAGGATAATTTTTTTTTCTGCTTCTTTGGAATATATATGAAGAAATCTGTATCCAAGCCTTGCAAATAGAAAGTATCAAAAGAATTCTATGCCCAGGAACCAAAACACTGTAAACAATGTCAATATGGAGAAGCACTAAAACACCAGTCAAAGATAGTGATTAACTGGAGAATATCAGGGATTCATTAGGGTACCCATATCATCATTCAGTGAATAAACTTTTTTTTTTTAGGCAGTTGGGGTTAAGTGACTTACTCAGGGTCACACAGCCAGTAGGTGTCAAGTGTTTGGACTGAGGCCGGATTTGAACTCAGGTCCTCTTGACTTCAGGGCCGGTGCTCTAACCACTGTGCCACCTAGCTGCCCCCAGTGAATAAACATTTATTAAGTACCAGCTACATGCCAGGCACTGTGCTAAGTGACAGAGGATACAAGAAGACAAAAGACAGTTGCTGTTCTCAAGGAGCTCACCATCTAATGGAGAGAGACAACTTGCAGACAACTATATACAAACGAGATATATCTCGGATAAATCAGAGATAGACAGTAGGGGGAAGTCACTAGCTTTAAAGGAGATTGGGAGAGACTTCCTGTACATGATGGGATTTTAGCCGGGACTTGAAGGAATCTAGGGAAGCCAGGAAACAGAGTTGAGGAGGGAGAAAATCAAAGGCATGCCCAAAGTTAGTAGATGGGGGTGTCCTATATGAGGAACAGCAAAGAGGCCAATGTTTCTGGATTACAGAGATTATATGGGTTGAGGGGCATGTAAGGAATGAGAAGACCGGAAAGGTAAGAGAAGGCCAGTTTATGAAGGGCTTTTGTATGCCAAAGGAGGATTTTATACTTGATCTTGGAGGTTATAGGAGACACTGGAGTTTATAGAGAAGGTTGACGTGATTAGACCTTTGCTTTAGGAAGAATACTTTGATAGGGGAGTGATTTGAGGCAGTGAAATCAACCAGCAAGCTATTGAAATACTGTCTAGGCTAAAGGACACATCCCTTTTTTAAGCAATGAGGTATTGGCAAATTAATTGCTTTTCAGGAAATATCCTTTGTGAAGCACTTTGTCTGAATGGATGTTTCTTAGGAAGTTTCTGTTGGGTTAAAATAAAATGTATTTTTAAAAAGTATCAGGAACCCATTATTTTGAAGGGATTATTCTACCTTAGAAGGATTTGGGCATGATAGTAATGCCTTTACATTAGACAACCTTATCCAGTAATGTGTGACTATATTTTTTAAGCATGCTGATAAACTTGGCTATCTTGTTTGGAAAAGATTAGTGCTCCTGGAGAAATTGAAGCATGTATTACTAAGATAAAGAGTATCTTCTGTTTACAAACTTTATGTTCCCATAATCTGATGAACTCATGATAATGTAATAAGTTAAATTGATGGTTCCTTAATAAAATTTTGCCTGAGGATATAAGTTGAATTGGCTATTCACATACAGAACAATAATGCAATAATGCTATTAAATCTTGTAACAAATCAGACTTCATCTCTGCTTCTTTTTCCTGCTCTTCCTCCATGCATGTTGACTGAGGACATTTATGGACATATTCCTCCCCTCCTCTCCCCTCTCCTCTTTTCTTCTTCCCTCTCCTCTCCCTTTCCCTCTCTTCTCTTCTCTCCCTTCTCCTCTCTTTTCCTTTCCTTTCCTCTCCTCTCCACTCCATCTCTATCTCTTTCTCTTTCTGTCTGATCTCTCTCATTGCTTTGGGACTAAAAATCATTATAGGCAGGTAACATAACCCCTGCTTTAAAAAAAAAAAGAAATATGTTCTGAATGTAGGCTGTTGCACTTGTGGTATATTATATTTTAAGGTCTAAATTAGGGAGATGAGTTTGTCCTGACTTAAGACTCCTTGCACAATATTTTCCTTGCAATTTCCTTATACTTCTTTCCTTACCCAAGGACAAGTGGCAACAATAGAGCATAAGGCTTCATTTTAAAAAGCCAGTAAACTACTGTAGAAATATAGTTTTTTTCTAAGTTGGAGTCCTTTCTGATAATAGCTCCTTCTGTTTTTCATAACTGCTGCTCTGTTCTATCCCCAAGTATAGCTTAGCAGCTCTACCCTAGGCAGTGTTACTCCTGAAGTTTTTCTGAAAGGAACTAACTGCTTCCCCTCACCCCAGCAATTCTAGGCATAGAATTCCTGTACCCAGTCTATACTCCAACCACGTACTAATATTTGACCAACATATGACACAGAAATAGTACTCTACACTTTTACACTAGTTTGTTCCATGTCTGTGTATTGAGGACAAGGACTAGATCTCTGTCGGCATTCAGTTTTGTCATTTTGGAATCATTTGTGGACATTATTAGTCAACTCTGCAGCAGCTAATACCTCATGATGCAGTCCACAAGCAGAAATTAGAGATTTTAAGAATCAATAGGTTGTATTAAAAAAAAAAAAGAGCTACTTAGGCTGCATGAGAGCTGAAGAAGCCAATGAGGTATGGTAGAAAGAGTTCTGGGTCTGGAATCAGAAGACCTGATTTTAAATTCCACCTGGGTAAATTACTACCTATTATTTTTCCTTACAGGGGCTTCAGTTCCCTCATTTATAAAATTGGGTGCAGGGAAAACTGCATTTATGTTTTCTCAATTCCATTCATTTGACTCTTGAAGTCACATGATCCTAGACAGTCTTAATTAATCTATAAAGTTTTTATCTAGTGTCTGTTATAAATACTTTTATACTGCAAGGATAAATTTTTGTTGATAATCTTTCAGAGATTTCTAGGTTTCCTAGAAATTGTGTTGTAATGGTTGGCTTCTAGGACTTTCATAGTGCCCTCTGCCACTGTCTCAAGTTTGAAAACAGCTGTTCTTC